CCTTTAGGTTTAATCAGTATATAGGGCTAATCATACCAAATAATTCCACAATGTTCTGCTTTTTGATTAGGTCCCCATATCTTTCTATAACAGCTCATTTCTTCACTTTCTATGTGGCTGTCAATTATCACTTCTCATCACTGTCATGTGTTTGCCTGAAGAAGCCTTCATTTTCTAATCTGCTATTCACTTGGAACCAAATTATTCAAGTTTAACTAAGTGGTTGGGTTGCAAGGAGCTCACCAAAGAATTAAGCAAACACATGAATTCATCTTATGACATCCATCTGGGCTGCTCAGCAGAATTTTTTTCCTTTCTAATGAGTCCTGTGTAGGTGAGGCTGAGTATAGCTGTAGTATAACTTTAATATATTAATAAATCTGTGATCTCATTTAGTACTCCCTCCAATGGGCAGAACAAATGCCACCCCATTCCTGACTTCACATCCTAGACACGGCTCATTTATGTGCTCCAATAAATTAACATAATTACTGAAGTATGATGAACACAGTACCTGCATGAATTCTTTTTAGCTTCATTATTTTTCTCTTCTGTCACAGTAATCTCTGCTCTTTTGAGTTTTCTTCTCATATGTTCTTGGTTACTTATGAGTTCAAATGCACTTTCAAAGAAAGTCAGAAGTTCAACGATATATGAGGAAATGAACCAACTTATTCATTTATTTATTCATTCATTCATTTATTTATTTGCTTATTTGGTATGGGGTTAAGTGACTTGCCCAGAGTCACACGGCTAGTGAGTTTTATGTGTCTAAGGCTGGATTTGAACTCAGGTCCTCCTGACTCCAAAACCATTGCTCTATCCACTGCGCCAAGTAGCTGCCCCATGAACCAACTTCTTAATGGTACCTTGAAGTGATAATAATTTCTGGACAGTTTACTTCCAAAGAATTGGGTTTTTATATTTGTTTTATTCTATCTAACTCTATGCACAGGTTAATTTTACTAAAGGGTAAATAAGGCCAGAGTAAAAATGCTAATCTGCAGACAGCAGCTTTGATAAACAAGACTCCATCTACACAAAACCACAGCTGCTAAAACAATTTTAAAAATCCAGTAGAACTGGTAATTTGGTGTTCTCTAAATATTTTTGAAAGGTGACTTCAATTAATGCATCTACAATTTCTCAATTCTGCAAGAAAAAATTTTAAAAGATGAAAGCATAATTCTGAGTGACTGTATACTTAAGGGAAAACAACACAAGCTTGATTTCTGAAAAGATATCTGGAAATAGGTATTTTATAAACTATAATTACCTAAGTGGCAAGTAGCAGAGTTCTCTACAAACTATGAAAGAAATGTTCAAATCAAGTATTTCCTATATAACCACTTTATAAATAAATTAGTCTCAAAAGAATAATTTCTAGGTAGTTTTCAAGGTTAGGTAAAAGGATAATGGTTAAAAGAAATAATTACATCTATGGACCATATACAAAGGTTTTTACTAAAATGATGGTTTTGTAACAACTAATATTCAACTTTTAAGATGTGTGAAAGCTAAGATGTATTAAGGTGGTCTAAGAAACAAAACTAAAAGAGACAGTTATAAACCCTTTAAACAACAAATTTACAAATAAATCACAATGGGCCCACAGGCTACTTTATAGATTCATAGTGGCAAAAGAAAACCATTTTATCTCATGGAAATCAATGTTCCCTCTCCATCTTCTAAGTTTCTATGCTATCTTACTCTACCATTTATTTGGCTATTAAATTTACCCATATATTTAACCCCAGCTCAAATGCCACTTGCTCCTTTAAGACTTCTTCAATCCCACCCATTTGGTGAATGAGCTTTTCCTCTCTAGACCTTAGATGGTATTTTCTCAATTACACAATCACAATCATCATGTTCCTCTTATTCACTTATTCTATGTTATTTTGGGATTTAGTTATTTGGGTATGTGATATCTATGGCTACTAAACAATAAGCACTATAACAACAGCCATCATCTTTTATTTTTTTATTTTGAAGATCCTGCAGGAGACTGCATATATAAGATACATAAAGTGTCTACTGGATTAACTGTACATTGGTTTATGACATTTATTATACTGATGAACTGCTATATAAATCTTGTATTATTTGCTTTTCAAAGTTGATGGCATCAATTAAACCAGATTTTAAGCCAAGTTCATATATATATACACACACACACACATATATAATATATACACACATATATATATATAAAATATATATACATATATGTATATATGTCTTTGAATCCTTTAAAATGCTAAATAAATATTTGTTTACTTGAATCTACATGCAGATAAAACCAAAACATCCCAACAGACATTTGTTTTCAATTCTGAATCTTTGGATTTGTGTCTCCAGAGATAAAGCTTGCCACTTACAATATATACAGGAGGAGAAAAAAACATCCAGAATACAGGTAGTCAGTCCCCTACTTACCAATGGTTTGTGTTCCCAAAGTTAATTTATAAGTTGGCTGTTTGGAACTTGGAATGCATTTTCCCATAGCAACAATGTTACAAATGGTTGTTAGGTTCTCAGAATAGCCCACAAAAGCCTACTTAACCCATAATGTGGCTGGAATACTACATGCAACTAATAATAATAGTAGAAAAAATACGATTTTAATACCACATGAATTTAACAAAACTGAACAAAACAATCTGTATGTATTTTAAATATTGATATTTTAAGATATACTTAAGCCTCCTTTAGTGAAGTTGACTTATTGGCCCATGTTGGCTAGCTTTCCCCTCCCAATCATTAACAGGGATCTGACCTGCAATAACTTTCAGTCAAAATAAAAGTGAAAAAAGCATCTGTACCTATGTATGAATTCATATACAAAGCACAAAAAGGCATTACCCACTACCCTTTTCATTAGTGTTAAGTCAAACTTAAGAGCTTTTAAGACTGTGTTCATTCCCAGAGCAGAAGGGCAGGGTTAAAAGTAAGACCTACCTCCCTTTCCCAAGGATGAGCTAAATGATTCTCTCATGGTCCTTCCAGCTCTAAATTTATGTGCCTATGTCACCTAATTCTTTTTGCCACTTAACATCTCCATGAATAAAAAGATGGTAGGTAGTCAGAAAAGCATTTAATATGTATCTTCCTAGGCCACTCAGCGTGTTCAATCAAGGAAGGGATTAAGAGTTAAGTGAGAAAACTTTCTTCATTGTGGCCTTCTAGGGAAAGGAAATTTTCTTATTTAAAAACAGTTGTGAAGGTGGGAAAAGGGGGAACAATTATGGGGCATACCTGAAACCTAAAGAAGTTTTCCTTTAAGGACTAGCTGCTTTAGCATAAAAGTAGATAAACAGCACTGATGAGAAGAAAAAGAGAGATTTAGGAAGTAAACTATTAATGTGAGAAGAGAAAAGAGATAATAAAGGTCCCATCCACAGAGATGGGAGATATTAAAACCCTACAAAAAGCTACAAGCCCAGTTTCAGAACAAGAAGAGGCAAGAATCAGGACTAATTAAGTTAACGCACATTTGGGAATTAATCCTTTCATTGATGAATTCCAGATACAGCTCTACCGTGTATACTGTCTTTAATCATCTTCAATCAATCACATTGTATCTTGCCAGACTGTTATATCATAATAATAACAGCTGGCTATTTAGAACTCTTTTAGAGTTTACAACATTCTTTTTATATATCATCCCATTTGATCACAACAATCCTGGTAAGGTAGGTGCTATTATTATTTCCATTTTACAGATGAGGAAATTGAAGCTGAGAGGTTAAGTTAAATTGCCCGAGGTCACACAGTAGGCACCTCAAGCAAGATTCAGACTCTGGACTTCCTGACTACAAAACTAGCACTCTAGTCCACTGGCCCACCTAGTTGTCTCCTTCTCCCTACTATGTCTAACAAGGTGGGAAAGTACTCAGTCACATAATCAGCAGCAGAAGAATGTTGCAATACTGTCTGATATTCGTATGAAAACTGACTGTACATGAGTTTGTCATTTTAGCAAATTAAAATTAAAACAAGTTTAGGAAAAATAACAGCTCTTTTCCTTATTCAATTTCATTTACATTTTTTTGAGTTGTATCCTCTGATAAGCCTGGAGTGAGATACAAGAGAAGTATATAAAAACTCTGACTCAGTATGGCAAGTAGCTCCTGAAGGTCCAAGCTACACTAACAAATTGATAATTCACTTCACAAAAGACTCCACAAAAATCTATTTCAGTTAATTGTGGTAAATAAAACAAGCTATACATTGCTCTTAAACAGTAACAAAATCAATCTGAATAAAAACAGTGAAAATATATCAATTTTGAAATGTATGGAATCTAATTCCTGAAAGTCAATTAATCAATAAAAGATGGTTAAGCCCCTACTATATGTCAGACACTGTGCTAGGTCCTGGGGATACAAAGACAAAAATGAAATAACAGAACCTATCCTTGAGGAGCTTACAGACTGGCTGGGGGAGACAATAGCTAAAGGAAATACAAGACTGCTTTGAAAACATTTTAAAGAGGCAAAAAAAAAGAATCTTAATCAACAATATAAATTAAAATACCACTAAAAGGAAGCCAAATTCTGTGAAATTTTAAAAAATTAACAGTTCTGTCAGTGGGAAAGGACTACAAGTACAGAAACGTTGCATCCACTGTTAAACAAAGTCATTTCCCCGTCTTGGTTGTTTTTGCTTCCCTGTTTTTCTATATAAGAACAAAATATTCAGTTCCCCCATCATCCCAGAAATGACAGGGATGTAAAAACAAAATACAAAGTTTTTTTTTAAGGAAATATAAACTAGAAAAATTTATAAACTCATCTTAGAGTTTAATTCATAATTTGTAAATATTATGTTTACATATCAGTGCATTAAATATTAAAATGCAGTCATATTAAAATGACACTGATTCTCTAACACATTTGAAATACACTAAAATCCCTTTTCAAAAACATACATATACACAGATAAAATTTAACTCCAATGTTTTTTACTCACTTGAGTAAACAGAATCTTAGTTTTACCTGAGGGAATGGTTGCACTGTTTTGGTGGTTTTCACTGGTCGACACAAATAAGTCTTCCTCTCCTTCAGTGGAAGAGCTAGAAGAGGATTCACTACTGAGGTCATTCTCACTAGAACTGCTAGAGCTAGGGAGTAATGCATACTTTCTGCGGACCTCCCGTTTTTTCCTCTGCATTAAAATTCTCTCCTTTTGTTTCTGTGTCCTTTGTGAAGAATTTTTCACAAATCTCTTTCTACATGGAAGTCTTCTTAATGAATTAGTATGAAAACAGGGCCTTTTCATCAATAATCCTGAAACAGATTCTGTCTCAGTCCGAGGCCACTTTTGTGACCGAGAACCATGAGTTCTACTTTTAGCATTCAGTATTGCCTGGGAGTGCCTAACGGATACTTCCTTGTCTTCATCAGATGTTACTGTGTCAGAATCTCCAAAATGAAGACTAGATGAAGGGGAAGAAACACAATCACTAAAAGAAGAATCATTATCTTCGTCGCTCTGGGTTTCCAGGTGTTGCCTCAATCCTAACATTCCCTGGCTTTCTTTAACAACACAGTTTTGGGCATACGAAGGGCCAGCCTGCTGACTCTTGCGCTTTTTCCTTACAACAATACCTTTTTCTTGGTCTTGTTGGTTACTATTCATGTCTTTTTCTTGTTTTTGAGAATCATCACACAAGTGAGAGAATTCATTCTCTACTTTACTAGCGATCATCTCAACTTCTGCAGGGAAACTTTTGGCTGCCCCGATGGGCTCAGGGTGCAAGAGGATCCCTTTTAGACTCTCCTGTGTCTTTGGTGCATCAGAAGGTACCTCACTCTTCATATCCGCTTTTAAGGTATAGAGTCTGTTACAATCAGGAGTCCATTGAGTCATGGGAAATTGTAAGTAAGTCCTAAAAAGACAAAACATAAAATATTTTTTAAATGTGCTTTACCATACTGTAAATACTACAGGATTACAAAGATGTTAAATTCTGCTAAAATATTCTTATGAGAGGATATCACTACCTTCTAATCCTTTAATATTTCTATTATTGTACTATTGCCTTTTTTTTTCTAATTACAGAAGCAATGTTAATATTAGACACTTTCAAAATTGTGGGCTAGATCATAATTTCAATTGATTTCAACTTAAAATATACATTTGCACCTTTTACTAAAGTCACAAATTTGGTCAAAATTGGCCTATTCTCTTCAAAAATTATCATGGAACACAGACAAATGAACAAAAAAGGCTTAGCAACTGAACTGATCTCAATTCAGTCAATAAGAATTTCCCTTTTAGTTTATTCTAAAATGGTATATATTTAAACAACTGAGTCTGTTTCTCAATATCTCAAGAACATATAATATTCACTACCATTTAAAAATCTGACATTAACATAGCTCCTTTTCCCTATATATCTCAAGATATATATGTTATTTCATTTATTCTCATGGCATTATTTTGGTTAATGATGGTAATTTTCCTTCTTTCATTTCTGTAAAACTTTATTTATTATGCACAAGGTTAACCACTTCAAATCAAACTGCTTTGATAGAAACCAACCACCTACCCTTGTAGAATTTTAGTGCTAGACAGGAATCTCAACACTAATCAACACTTCTATATAGTTCTCCACTGTAAGTAAATTTCCTTCCAAGTTGATACTGAAATATTAATAACTACTCTTTGGATCCAGTCAGTAAACTTAATTCCAAAGTCACCTAATTCTGCCATCTAGTCCACATATCTTCTTTTGCGTACAAATAGCACCTACTTTATTAAATGCTTTGCTAATATCTAGAGAAATCATCTACACAATGTTTCCCTCATCTACCAGTTCAGTAACACTGACAAAAAAATAAGGCTAATTTGAAATAAGGTTAATTTGTCAGGATCTGTAAAAAGTAAGTTCCTTGAGGAAGGGAGAGTATTTTAGGTTCAAATCCCACCCTTTGGCCTCCGATATGTCCCAGCAATGTGACTGTGGGCAACTTACAACCTCAGTGTTCCATACAACAGTAAGCTGCAGAACAGCAACTGGTGAATTAGTAAGTGTGGACTCCAAAAAAACGGTGATAGAGAAAAGCTAAGTGACTTGTCTAAGATCATGCTGCTAACATATGACAAATTCTGAGAAAACTCAGGTTTTCCATTAAAAATCTAATGCTTTCCATACAATACTATGAAGCCTCTTAGCCTATGGCCTAAATTGATCAAGAGGTTTATGATGCACTGCCTTATGAAAGGGTAGAACCTGTCTCTCCAAGGTTTGAACTTTTTATCATTAGTAGTATGCTTTTCTCAGCCTCATCATGTCTCACTTGCTGCCAGGATGTTCATTAGCTACTTCCCTCATGCCCCAACCTGAATCAACAGCATCAATAAAACTGTGACCCAAGACAAATTAGAGGAAAGTTAAAAATCAATGCCACATCACAATAATGGCTAAGACGGAAAATGTCTAAATGAAAAGTCATTTATTAAGTGTTTAGTATGCAGAGGAAATCATGGAGATACAAAAACAAAAGCAGGAAAGTCCCTGCCCTCAAGAAGCCTAGAACAGAAGCCTACTGATAATACCATTTATACAATCTTCAATGTTGCTTGGGCTTCAACTTCATAAACATTAAGGAAAATTTGAAGAAAATTGTGATGTTATATTTACATAAATGTGATCATTTTCTAATGAACATACTGTGAACTTTGAACTAAAATTTCTCCAAAATAAACCAATACAAATTCTTCAAATATTCATTCAAAAACCATCAACCAATTTAGAAAAAGTGAGAGAATAGAATGGCCTAATATTTAACATGATCCATTAGTATGACGCAAAATGTTTTGAAGAGTACTAATAAACCAACAGGAAAACTACTGCTTTCTGTAAATCAAGATGACCAGTTGGGGAAAAGGTACTTCAATTCTTTATTCAGTAATTATTTCTGCAGAATGACAGCTAGCTAATTTACACTGCACCAGATGTCACATATCTATACATACCTGACAACACCTTTATCAGAAACAGGCAAATGACCAAAAAGCAAGATGACATCATGTTGTTTATTGAAGTTTTGAGGAAACTCCTAAAGTCAATATGCATTCAATCCTGTGTCTTGTACCATGTACATCCGATGTACTGCTATAGCTACAGCATAATGCTATTAAACTTATTTCATAATAATGATAAGAATGTTAAACTCCATTTATTCTTTTCAGAAAGGCAACGAGTATATAATACAAGTTTAGCAAAAAATACATTTCAGTGCTTAAAGTCTTAATTTAACTTCAATTATCTGAAAAATCAATCTAAAATACGTAACTGTTCCATAATGTGAGAAAATTGAAGCATTATCTTAATAGGCAAATGGCAAAAATGAGAGGAAAAGTGACTAAACTCAGTTATTGTACTGCAACTGTAGTTGCTTTTATTTGAATAAAGATTTATTAATTAACTCATTCTGTGATACTGTTTTCCACAATACCTTATTTAATCTGAGATACCTTTCTTCATAATCAAGAAACCTTGCCTAACTGAATATAATACATTTAGTTATTCAAAATTCAATTTTGTTTTATTTTCAGCTCCTAATTTGCTCCTTCCTCCCTCCTCTATTCTCATTCGAGAAAAAAAAGCTCATTAGGAATATGTACAATTATGCAAAACAAATTCCTGCACTGACCTAAAAAAAAGAAGGGGAAGGCAAGAAGAAAGGAGAAGAAATAAAAAATATGCTTCAATCTACTCTCTAAATCTGTCAGCTCTCTATCTGGAGGTGGGCAGCATGCTTCATCATGAGTCCTTTGAATTGTCATTGGTCTCTGCATTGACTAATGTTCTTAAGTCTTTCTGAATTGACTGCAACATATTTACTAAGGATCTATCCTGTAGAAAAATTTGCTACTAGGCCTGGAGATAGAAAAACAAAAATAAAACAATCCCAGACCTCAAGAAACTAACATTTAGGGGCAGCTAGGTGGCACAGTGGATAGGGCACCAGCCCTAGAGTCAGGAGGACCTGAGTTCAAGTCCGCCCTCACACACATAAGATTCACTAGCTGGGTGACTCTGGGCAAGGCACTTAACCCCAATTGCCTCACCCAAAAAAACAAAACAAAACAAAAAACCTAACATTTGGGAAAGGGGAGTAAAGGAATACATTTGTTCATTAGTAGGTTAATTACAAGATAATGTAAGGAGAGAAAGAGTGAAGGGGTGTGTGTGTGTGTGTGTGTGTGTGTGTAGAGATAGTATCAGAAAGGCTTCAAGGAAGAGATAGCACCTAAGCTGAATCTTAAAAGACAAGGAAGGGTTCTGAGAAATAAAGATCAGGAGAGAGTGTAATAAGACATTTCCTATGTCTGAAATTATCCAAACATAGAAAGTGGCTTCTACAAAAGTGGGAAGGTAAAGTTCGGACAACAAGTAGTAGGATAGTTCTTTGGAATCTAGGAGCACTTGAAGGGGAGATATAGGTGAAAGGAGGTCATGGTGGATCCCTCACACACCAGGCTAACATTTTATCTTATCCTACAAGCACTAGAGAGAGAAAAGGTTTTTAGCCAGGGACTGACATGACCAGGACTTTTTCCTAGGAAAATTATTTTGGTAATTGTGGATGGTAAATTGGAAGGCAGATAACACCAACAGAGAAACCAATTAAGAAACTATTTATTACCAGGTAAGAGATGATAAGGGTTTGAACTAAGGCAGTGGCCATGTCAGCAAAAAAGGAGACGGACTGAACAGATAGTATAGAGGTAGAATCAACAAGATCTACTTCAAAAACCAGACTTAAAAACTTAGGTTTCTTCCACTCTCCTTATCTTTCACCTGTTGATATTAAAGACAAGACAGGTATGATATTATGTGGCATTTATGGTTATTACTCCATACTCTGTTACATCATTCCATGCTTGTTGTTCCCATAATTATCCTAAGCCCAAGAACTATTTCTCTTTTCATCTGTACACCAGAATAGCAGTCTCTAAAGGGCAACAGTCTGACCCTGAGGGCTTTGTGATCAAACAACTGGAGGGTGAGAAGATGACTTGTATCCCACTCTTCCCATAACGGCAATGCTGGGACCTGTCTCCAAAACAACCAAGCCTATCTCCAAATGATATCCTACTTCTTTTAACTCTATCCCCTACACATAGTATCATGTCCAAAATTACTTTGTACAAATTTTTTTATTTACATATATGTATTTGTGCTGTGTCTTCGGAGTTTCATGGGGGATGAATAGGAATATATCCTCAATGCCAGGCAAACAATAATTAATGAATGCTGCCTGACTTTTTAATTGTAATTTTAAAAAAATTTTTCCAAGGAAAAAATAGTGCAGAAATTGTTTGTTCCTCTCCACTTATTTTGTATCTCAAGTTATAATCATCCCCAACTGAGCGTACATTGTAGAATGAACAGCAGAACATCAAATGCTGTTCTGAATAAAAATTACCCCCACAGAGCTGTTTGGAAGTTGAAGCAAGTATTAAAGGGTAAAATGTGAAGTTAGAATAGGAAAAGCACCAGGTGCCATGAAGAGGAATCAAATGTGGCAATCAATCAATAAGTATTTCTTAAGCACATAACTACGTGCCAGGCACTAGCGATACAAGTATAAAGACTGAAACAATCCGTACTCCTTAGGAGCTTACTTTCTCATGGGGAAGACAAGTACATATAAAAATTTTCATAGCATAAATATAAATTGAATAAATACAAATATGTATAAATAAAGTAGCTAACCACAAAATAGTTTGGGAAGGAAGGTACTAGCAGTTGGGGGGGGGAAGTAGAGATAAAAGCTTCATGCAAAAAAAGAGTACTTCTTCAATAGTCATGTGAAAAAATGCTTTAAATCACTAATTAGAGAAATGCAAATTAAAACAACTCTGAGATAACCA